CTACGTGTCGGTGCTTTAAACCATCGTTAAAGAATTCCTCGCGCTAAGAGGGGAATAAAGAAAGCTTTAACTACACAGTAGTCTTGTAATATGTATGCCAAAGAAAAAATGTGTACGCCAAATACAAGAACGAGAGATGGTTGAAAAAGCTTTTATTATTATACAGTCTTACGGGATAATCTGTGTACGACCAGGGAAGAAAAAAATGGGCAACCAACCGTGGAAACCCGGTTCATTAACGTTTCGCCAATTATATCCGCCGTCGAAGTCAGTCGGCTGTGATGGATTCACATTATTATATTTTGCGAGTCTCTTCCTCCATCGTCATCAACGATATTTTCCGGAATATTTTTCATCCCCCCACCACCATGCCACTGTTTCGCGGAATCCCATAATAAAACGTTCCCTTTTGCTCTAAAATCCACCTCGCTCTCTTTGCTCGGCGCCCTCTTATTAACGAAAATCATATAGTGTTTCCATTACTATACGGAAGCTCGTAATTTGTCACCAGAGAATATCTTAACACACACACCCATTAAATATAAGAGGGTACATGCCGCTTCAAGGTGTAATTATTAATGTGTAGGTATATGAGCTGTATGCTGCGAAGACGACTCTTGCAATAAAGCCAAATGTCTCTGATGCCGTTCATTTGATCTACGCCGTCTTACACAAAAACCTCATCAATCGAGCCCGCGAGACTTATACGAGCAATTAGTACAACAAAACCAAGTACAGTCATTGTCTAATTGTCAGTTTGGTAACAGAATATACATTTTGTACGCGTATATATCCGGATGACGACAGAGAAATATTGTTATTTTATCGTTCAAATAAGTCTTGCTCCGCTGGAATTTAAAAAGAATACTAACCCGCGTAAGGATTCAATGCTCTCATATGATATTAGTGATATAATAAATGATCATTTAAAAAAGCATACATCTAAGTACAAATAAATAAAAATACGAAAAATATCGAAAAGTAGGATGTGTGTCGGTCAACCAGTATTTAAAAATCGTCACGGATCAACAAACCGATCCATTTTGTCCTTTTGTGGATCATCTTTAGTTGATGGTGCTGGCGATAAGTTTACAGGGTCAAAGGTGAGACTCTCCGCATACACACATAAAAAACACCGCTCTCACATTCCATCTTGAATTGTACATGGCATGTATATATAACGACACATAAACCGACTCTAATCCGTTCCATTTTTTCTCTCTAATTTTTATTATTATTATTATTATTATTATTTCTTCTGCTTATATTCTTCATTATTAATGTGCATCCACACGTATACAAGAGTACACGAAGCGCATCGTCTGTCACCGATTCTCTTCTTTGGGGGCGACCCGCAACCATATACGCTTCCCCTAAACACAATGAACATTGAAGTCCAATATAGATTTCGGACGTTGATGAATAACGTGCTTGGCACCGACCATAGATTTATATAATGTACCGGACTCCGTGACAGACACCTATATAAATGTGACAGGGTCACATACGGAGATCGCCTTGTGTTTGTTTAGGATTGCCGGCTATGATGCGTCCTATTTTCAAACAACCCGTTGCGCCCACTATATCTCCTGTTCTCGATTACTCTCTGTTTTTCTATACCTTATGCACGCAGACATTTGCATAATGTCTTCGTCGTCGGGGTGCGTTCAACTCACCGGACACAAAAGACAAACGCGCCATCCGACCCCCCATAGTCAATCTTTTATTCTTCCCGGTCGGTCAAAAAGAAAAACGCGGTCATTACCATTGAAAAATTCCTTTTTGAGGTCGCGGACCTTTAAAGGGTAAAACAGTAGTACCGATGTATCACAATTTGTTTCTCAATATCACGATGATAGTTGAGGTCCATCATATCTTAATAAATTTCATATTGCATTGTGTTCAGAAACCATTAACCTGACCAATCGACAGCTATAGTGCTCAGACATATTTATAACCAATAAATAATCCAAAAAGGCATAATATGAAAACCATCGGTGCTTTTATGGGTGTAAAACGATATTTGTCTTAGTTTATGTTATTTAGTATGTTGGTAACTTTAAATGAACTAAAAGTTATTGTACTGCATTTCGTTTTTAAGTATTCAATAGATACCTAAACTGAGTTATACTCGTATTTTGTGTCTGAATAGAAATAACTGATTGTGTGGAACTTCCATAATACTTTATGTTCGATTATTTTTTAGTTACAAAACAAACATACAATTCAAGTACTATTAAACGAACGCGTGCGAGAATATTGTATTGTGCGTTTGTTGTATTTTATTTGTATTATTCTAAGAGTCAGACAATTGGAGATATTGAAGAGAAAGTAAAGTATAACCATAACATTTTATTTCCTATACATAATATTTTTGATAATTGTATAATACAGTTGCCACAAAATTTGACATATAATAGTAGGGGTACTCGTAAATTACGAGTAGTTTAAACATAACACGACCACGGGGGGTGTTAAGAATAGAAAAAAGGAAGCTGCAATTGACGAGATTTCCGTATTTCCTGTCAAGCTAAAAGTGCACGGGGACAACCTTTTATTTTATTTCATATATTTAAACAATATTGTTTTGTTTTTTATCAAAGTACCATGTTAAAATGCAATAAAGTATATATACTTTACTATATATAAAACTGTGTATATAGTGAGTCACAAAGATATGACAAATCCAATATCTTCTGATCTTTTTCGTTAAAATATTATTTTTTTCAAATAATTATTGCCTTCTCAGACTATATTCAAAGCATATTTTTTATTATTTATATCTAATAATAAGAAATAAAATTTAAATTAAAATTTTTTTCAAATTGCAATGAAAGGATCAAAAGTTATTGGTCCGTCATATCTTCGTGACTCGTCCTTTATAGTATTATAGACTCATTGACATTTTAAAACAATTATATAAACTAACTTTGTAATATTTAGAGAAATATTACTAACTGCTTTACTTATCGTCATAAATAAATTATTATTTAACTAATTTTAGTTGGAAAATTCAATAAAAAAATATTACTACTATTATTATTAGTTTTACAAATTTTTATATAAAAATACATTGCAAATTAAAATCGAACTATAAAAAATTCGTTTGTATTGTTTACATTTATGAACAATTACTCTTATTATTTAATAAATAAATTCGCAAATCTTAAAAAATTAACTTTCATTATACGGTCCAATTCATTTCGTTTTATTTGTGAAAAACTTAATAAAAAAAACCCTCTTTTTTGCTAATAATCCTTAGAGTTTTTATTTTTATCATTTAGACTTTATTAATAATATTCACGGTCAATATATCATGAGTTTTAATAAAAAAAGGTCTTCTAAAAAAAAGTAATAACAAAATTTTAAATGAAAAACATAAAAGCTAATATTGTAATTCACTTTGTAAACTGACTTGGTGAAATTATTTATCAAAAACATATTTATATAAAATATAATTACGTTTCATGAATTCGATAGTGCGCTTAACATTAATAATCAGTTTTATATGTTCTCTAAAGAAGAAAATTGACGTGCCTATGATAAAATGTTTGCAAACACGCTGGTGACTCGATATTCGATTAAAATTATATCAGTCCCTAAGTATTGAAGTTCATTTTTTCTTCCCCTTGTATTTTTCGTACAAAGGCTTCGGGGCTAATTGGATTACCTTAGTGCAATCAATGAGCTACTACTACGACTCGTCCTTTGCTTTTTACGTTTTCTTTTTAACTACTACAAAGTTATCTTTAAACTAATTTTTGAGACCATCTTATCGACAAAAATACTTCATAAAAGGTATTACTTTGTGTGGTTGGTTGTTATTAATAATTTCATTATTGTAATCGGCATAAAGTTTCTTAATACAAATCAATTATTTAACGAATTAGTATAAAATTTTAAATTCATGTATAAAACATACGACATTTAAACTTTCCTGGTAACATTGATAACTATTAATCCGGGTAAGATTTTAGAAAAAGTTTTTGGAAGGGTATTTGCACTAAGTTTAACTTAAATTTAACTAAATTAAAAAAAAACATTTTAGGATAAAACATTTTGAAAAAGTCCTTAATTTATATTATTTATAGGGTACAGTCATACGGTTCTTAAGATAGTAAAGATATTCATGATGTTGCAACTATTTTCGGACAATGATCCCCAAGATTCATCTTAGACCAGCCACTGTATTAATATTTAATAAAAATCAATAATTAGTTGTCCATAGAATACTATTATAATTTGTTTGAAATTTATTTGCTAGCACTAAATGATTAAAATTCTTTAAAAAAATCAACAGTGGTAATATTGATACATAGTTAATACATAGTTTTCACAATTTCATGTGTTTTTTAATATTTTTCTAGTAAACAAAATCTGTTTATAAATGTTAATGAAATTTATTAGCTGGATGCCAAAATGTTGTCCCATGAAATTAAAATGATCAGTGATCCCTAAATACTAGCTTTTAATCCTTTTAAAGAGCCCTTGGACGACAATCAAATCAGTTTCGGACGCTTTTGATAAATGAACGACAGCCGCAACGACACATATCTTGTCCGTGTGAACCCTATCCGTACATGATTGATGGACATTGTCCTAAATGGTAATGTGCATACAGCCGACCAGATTAACAACAAAAATCCCCTTATATCACCAACAATAGACAACAGTATTTTTTAGTTTGATTAAATATTATTATTCGTAGATATTCGTTTTTATTTTAAAGCAATAAAACATTAGTATGGCAAATTTTCAATAATCTATACTTATTTATTTATAAAACATATATGAAGTTTTAAATAAGAATTTCTTTTTAGCATTCTGCAATTGATTACAGTATACCAAACAAAAATAATAACGAGATTTTAATTGTTCGTTTAACATAAAATTGTGATTAATATTTGTAATAAAAGCGTTTGTTTTTAGTTTAAATTGCCTGAAAATTTAATAAAGAATTAGTGCACACAAATTTTTTTAGTAAAAAGTAAACAACTTCATATATTTCAAAAAAATGTAATTTATTCAAAACACAAAAACCAAATTAATTATTTTTAAATTTAATAAGTATTTTCCATATTTAAATAAAATCATAACTAATAACTATCAAAACTAAAATAATGTATTATGATGGAGATCTACACAAACCTCCTGCGTATATTTGACCTGATGGACAATCGATTCGAGTTTTTATAGAAACTAATACTCTTCTATGCAAATCATTAGGCAGCTCCGTACTAGTTGTATTGGTTGTATTAGTTGGGCGAATCGTTGTACTAGTTGGGCGAATCGTTGTACTAGTTGGGCGAATTGTTGTACTAGTTGGGCGTATTGTTGTACTTGTTTGTCGAATTGTCGTACCAGTTGGGCGAATCGTCGTTGTGTTAGCATTGCCAGACATTGTCATGGTAGTTACACTATTTGTCGTGCTAGTCGTGTGATTTTTAGTATTTGTAGTTGAAATTTTTGCGGACTGGGTGTAAATAGCTAAACATAATAATACAAAAAAAGTTGAATTTAAATTCATCATACTAAACATTTAACTATATTACACCAAAGCTAACAGCAATGGATAGTTCAACAATTTAACACGATGATTATATTATTTTTGACTTGCGCATCTAGTTAAACAAGAGTCTGATGTTATAATCTTTAAACAGCAATAAGTAACCATTGAATCAAAGTTCAGTTTTATCATTCATTGTTTTATCAAATCTCACGCGACCTTGTTTATAAATAAGTGATTTTTCAACATAACTAAATAATAAACACAGTTAATTAATAGCATTTCTTGTTTTTGTTATTAAATGTGTTAGTAAAAAATTGAACCGAATAAATTCTTATGAATCATTAAACGAGTAACACATATTAATATTATCATCGTCAGCAAAAAAAAATCCACCGATTTAATTAAACTAAACTAATATTTTCTAAGCTTTTTATCATTTATGATTGGCAATTATACTCCTACTAATCATATTGTAAATGAATGAGTAGATTAAAGGTATTAATTATTTTTAATTGCAAGTAAATGTGTATTTATAATAATTGCGTAGATATTTACCTTCAAATTATACTCTAGTCGATAATTTACGGCATCTTCCGTTATGAAATACATAACCCTTAGGACAATTAGTTAATCGTATAATATTAGTTTGTATGTATTTTGTTGAAACATGATTTGATGGCAAATTAAAACAAAATATAAAAAATAAAAGTTGGAATACAATTAATAACAGCTTCATGTCGACTAACTCAAATACCTCTTGCCAGCGAACTGATTAAAATAAAACGATAAAATAATGAATAACCGTTCTTATCAGCAGAATACGCACATCGCAAGCCAAGATCGAAGTTTCAATGTTATTTGCTTACTATCAAATGTAACATCATATTTTTTTACTACTATTATTATAAAAATTTACCATATCATTTTTTTTTTAATTTAGCAAAAATCCATCAATTAAAATTGATCTTATATCTTAAAGTATAGACTCTTTTCGACACATTAATTTGCTATTAGTCGTGTGGAATTAGTAACGGATATTCACTAAAATATATTTTGTACTATTCGGACGTTGGCAAAAATTTACGAAATGAAATTATGATATGGTCGGAAGACAGGAAATCCAATTTCACCAATAATTTTACGGTCCTTCGCTTTTTGGTCAATCTCGTCATCGCCGATAAACNTTTCAATGTTATTTGCTTACTATCAAATGTAACATCATATTTTTTTACTACTATTATTATAGCAATTCACCATATCATTTTTTTTTTTAATTTAGCAAAAATCCATCAATTAAAATTGATCTTATATCTTAAAGTATAGACTCTTATCGACACATTAATTTGCTATTAGTCGTGTGGAATTAGTAACTAAAATATATTTTGTACTATTCGGACGTTGGAAAAAAATTTACGAAATGAAATTATGACATGGTCGGAAGACAGGAAATCCAATTTCACCAATAATTTTACGGTCCTTCGCTTTTTGGTCAATCTCGTCATCGCCGATAAACGGATTTCGTTCGTAGAATGACGACGACAAACCAACCCTCAAATTGAAGACTGTTTCCTGTCCAAAAGTGAAAATAGGGATTATTAGTTTATTACATTTTTCTTTTTTCTTCTACTTTTATGACAAAGTGCTCACTGAAAAACGATGAAAACTGAATTCCATAGTCTCCCTAAAACACTATGTGACGATATCCGTGTGAAGAATAAAGGGACACATTGTACACAATAGACTACGTGATTACAGTTGAGAAAAGTGAAGGGTGAAAATCGTTTTTTACGTTATAGTCAGCTCCATCTAGTGGCGATGATTTTTCACTTCAACACAACCACGACGAGCTTATTTGATTTTAACAGTACTCAGATAACACATTTATGTTTTGATTTTTAACATTTTCTACATGAATGCTTATACTTGTATGGATCCACTACTAAGCTGTTCAAATATTTTAATTTAATAATATGGCATAACTTTAATAATAAAGGTTATTTAAATATCGTTATTGTTATTTATGCTACAACGTAATATTTATTAAAAAATAACATACAGCAAGAATGTAAATGGGTCTTTTACAAATTTCCAAAGAAGATACGGTTTCACACCCTTGTTATATCAACAATGCCGCCAGTCTATATTACCCCTAGATGCGATATCTGCACAATATTATTTTTACAATGATCTAATAATATCATGTTACGTAATTATCCAAATCTTTTGCGCAGTATTGCATTCAATTAGTTGATAGTAAAAATCCATTACCAAACTGGTTTCGATTTCATCCTTTCTATATTATAATATGCACATTAATAAGGGCATTTTGTAGGGCTGAGTTTTTATACATTTTATAACACTACGCGGGGGGTCTTTGTGGTTTAAAATGCTTGACTGGCTTTTAGTCGTTCTCACATTAGGTAACACAAAAACGATATTGTTGTTTTTTCGAACACATTAAAAAACAGTCCAAAAGCTATTATAGCTTCGTAAGATACACTGATATATTTCCATTCAAACGATTGTCTGATGATGGCCAGTTACATTCATCTATCGCAATTCTCCATTAAACTTTCATAACACTTACGGAAAAAGATAAAGGAATATTTCCATTAAAATGAATAATAAATATTTTTTTTAACTACATTTTCTCTTTGAAAATGCAGTTAACTTGTAATAAAAATTACATATAATTGTCACGCATTAATTTTCCATTATTTTATTACTATTGCACAAAAGTATACTTCATATTTTTAATAACGTCGTGAGTTTGCATAATATTGGTAAAAGGTTCATAATATAGCCGTACTTAAAAATCAAATGTATTGTACATGTTCATAAGTTTTTAGTCGTCGCGTAGTACTGTTTAGATAGAAATCCATTAAAACCAAAACAGAAATATTTTATACCTACTTTAGTACGTTGTATTAGTAAAATTATTTACCGAGTTGTAAATCTGTTGGACGTCATAGAAAGGTCTACATTGGAGAACAATACTATGGACAAATTGGATTTTCTGTTAAGTTATTTACAATAGGGAACTCTCTAAATCATTTTCCAACAGGATGGTCATTACATCCCGAAGGCGACACTGTTTTAAACGTTTTTGGCTTGTGTTCTATTGACTAGTAACCGTTGAGTGGTTACCATTTGAGTTTTCACTGGACTTTCCGCTTGACTGGTCACTACACTAGAGCCCTGAGGTCCGGAAGAAAACAACTTTGCGTCACACAAAGGGTTCTGTATCGCTTCCAAGGATTTTGATTGAAGTGAGGATGTAAAGGGGACATCCTGCCGCGTCAAAACCTAAGGATACGGTTGTATAGACAGAACAAGGATTTGTTGTGGTCAGGTACACACACGCACGTTTATAAGCAGGAGGAGATGGTTCTTATTCCGTACGCATCGGTCTCCTTTTGTGCTATAATATAGGGAAGGCGAACGATACAGTAGTACGCATCGATGAATCGGTCGAAAGACCCTTTACACAAATTAGCTTTAACTATACTCGACAAATATTACCTTCGGCAGTAGCACAGTTTCCAATATTCCTGTTCGGAATGAGTGGAGTGACGAAGTGTAACTAGCGTATAACCTTTTCAACCGCGAAACGATAAGACAAACATTTTCAACCACTGTGTCTTACTGCTACGTCTTATGAATTCAGAATTTCGCTTTAGGCAATTTAGGCGCGTGTCCATATATTATATAAACTTACAATGGCAAAATTGTGGTTTCATGTTCTTTGAAAACTATCAACGAGCAATATATTTGGACGCAGCATAACTTTCTAATAACTTAGAATCCTCATTTAAAATAATGCATAATTTTAGCTTATGGTATCAATCAAGTTTAATTTAAATGAGTTCTAACCAGTTCAATATAATATCGTTGTGACGCTAAAACAGCGTAGTAGTGAATTATATCAAATAGACAGAATAAAAAGTAATACTTATTATATCTATATAGTCAATTATACATGAAAAACTCGATGGAACTATTTCTATTAAATATAAAACTATGAAGAGTTCTGTATGTATTTAATTGTTTGTTATATTGCGATTGAATAACATAAAGGCGTCAGAAGATTAAAGAAAAAAAATGAGTGCCCCTTTACACTTGTATCGCAATATTCCTACTAAGGCATTACTGCATGTTACTCATTAACAGATCTCAACGACTGGTCTTAAATTTTAGTTATTGTTGACAGTTATGACAAGAAACGTCATCAGGGTGCAGAGAATCATCATCCAAATCGGAAGCTAACTTTTTAAATTAGTTACGAAACGTGCGCCTCCTCACGACTTCCGCATTTACTATCATGCGACCAATTATTATCACACCGGTTCAATGATAGTTTTTAAGATAGGCTGCATTTTATCGGTAGTCCCGCGTGCCAACCCTCAGTATCGGCTCATTTACCAGCGCAAACCCATCGGCGTCGGAGGCCGTAAATTTGGCAGAGCTCGGGCCGGGTGCACTTTTGCCAGTCAATTTCATGACGTATCCGTCGAGTTATTGCTATTATTGTAGTTGCCGTTCATTTAAACGGCTAACACGGAGGTTCACTACGATCGAGTTTCGGGGTACCACTAGCTATGGGTTAGGGGAAAAACTAATAATACAGGGAGACGTCATTGACGAGAGAGAGACTGGCGTTTTTATGATCAGCAGTCATGGTCCAAAGGATTTTTATCACTAGCAGTGGAAAGCGAACGAAATACAAAAAAAGTATTTGGTATTACTCAACCAAAAAACGAAAAAGACTCAAACTTATTAGTTTTTTCACTTCATCAAATAAAATTAAAATAGAAATATAAGATATTTATAAATATGGTAAATGATTTTTAAGAAGGCAAATATTGATTCATAATTTATGAAAATAAAAATATATACTTTATAAAAAATAGTACATATTTTATACAATAGTTGTGTTAGATTATATATTTTAGTAGTTATTTAAAATTTAAGTATATAAATAATATAGGGTCAATAATATATAGTTGTAGCGTAATAATCAATAAAGTTTTATATTCATTGAGACCAATAAACTAACGACACTTACAATAAATCTGAGGTAGGGAAAACTATCCGGATAGGGTACATCCCCTCTGTTGTTACGTTGGGGCATTCAACAGCTAACCTAGCAAGCCCGGTGTTATCTGAATGACCCCGGCTAGTGATACATGATATGAAAAGGATGAGATAGCTACAAACGAAAGTAGACATTTTAACATTCATGTTAGTAGGAATAAAAATCGGATAAACTTTTTAATTATTAATTTGTTAATTCAATCTTCTTTTTTTTCCTCACCTTAATTCTAACTACTTGGGGTCGGCCAATTTTGTTTATTCAATATCTTTAAAATTAAAACAAAACAGTTACTTCATACCATATTTATAAAACACTGAATAAAACAATGATAATAATTATAATTTATAATTAATAATGATCTAATATGATGTTTACATCATTTACAGTATTTTATTTTCGCAAATCATATAAAAATTTTGTAAAAATTTAAAAATTGATATAATAAACCAATGTTTTTTATATTTTATTAATGTTTTAATAATAGATAAACTATTCAATTAACAGTTGTACTCTTAACACTATTTTGTAGTTCCTTATCTAGAGCAGATAATTTTTCATTCATTTCTTTCACATGTTTTGGATTACTCCCTTTACAATCTTCATAGATTTTCTATACGAAAAAAAATTAATACAGATTTTATGCGAATAATTATGACAAAATGTAAATTTTAATTAATCGTTAATTATTTACAATCATTGATATTACTTGGAATTTTCAATAAAATTACTTAACATTTTTTTTATAATAGAAGTTTTGGTCTATTAATATTAACATGATATTTAATATTGACTAAATTATCATTTCTTTTTTAACTAAATTTTAATTTTTAAAATACTACTTTATTTTTAAATTAAAATTCTCAATAATTCATTTCTTTAATTTTATTTTAATTTTCCTTAGAAATATTACGGCTAAATAAAATTGGTTATAGTTCATATTTGTATAAAACATATACATACAACAACTGTCTGAAGATATTTCCTCATATTCTTTGCTGATGTGATTATCTTTTGGTTTGAAACTTCCAACCTCATCGACTGAAAACAATATTATCAGTTATTAATATTATTCAAATTCTAAAAAACAATATTTGTATTCAGTTCAAATGTATTAATTAATATTTATAATTAATTCTAAGATACCTAAAATATTTCAAAAATTTCACTAAACTGTTAAGATTTTACATATATGAATTACATAAATTTAATCACAAGAAAAAATGCTTGGTAATAATTTTTTATTAAAAGTTATATAAAAAGTTGTTGTCATTTTAATATAGTTAAAATTAAATATATTGCTTTAAAAAATGTGACTAATTGGAAAAATAATTGTTAAACTCACGTAACTGTGTACAACAATAAATTTCACAAATTTGAAAATATTCTAGTTCTTTATATTTTTACCTTATTTTTCGTTAATTCTTCCAATTTGACCACAGATTCTTCATATTTCTTTTTTAAATCCACAACATATTGTTGCAATTCGTTAACTTCTTTTTTTTTAACGTTCAAATATGAAGTCAGTTGATTTATTTTAGTATTTCGTTCACTTAACTGACCGTCGAAGTAACTTTTATTTTCCTCTAAATGTGAACAATGTCTCTCTTCTAACGAATTCGCTAACTCCGTCATAAGCTTTAGTTGTCTTTTATTTTCACGTGAATCAGAAATAATTTTTTTCAATCCTTTACCTTCTAATATTATCTGATTTACTTTATTTGTTATTTCTGTTAACATTTTTTTTAGTGTACTCATATCACTTATTATATCGTTATCTCTTAACGCACTTTGATTGCTTACTTTGTTTAACTCATTTTTTACCCTTTAAAATGATAACATTAAAATACTATAGAAAAAAATACATATATTTATTTTTCATAACTATTACTTATCAAACTCAATAGCCATTGCAGTCATCACTTCATTTTTATAATTACAACTATTAACGACGTGTTTAAACTGTTCCTGCAATTAAATTAGAAACTAATAAATCAATTAATAGATTGAAAACTCTTAAAAAAAAATTATTTTCAAAAAAATTAACATTTAATAAACCTTAAAATTATAATTATGTCATCTGTTTATGAAGATTTAGGTTAATTCTAACAACATTTATGCTAAGAGTGTAATATTAAAACTGACTCTTAATTCCTCTACAGCTTTTTCCACACACTTTAACTTGTAATTAGTATCTTCAGTCAAAATCAATCCATCACCACCTTCACTGGTCTCGGTGACACGTTGCTTCTAAAAATAAATTTAAACTCATAATTATAAATATATTTGTATCAACAGATTACATTGCATTTGAACATTACATATTTTTAACAATTATTAAATTATTGGTATGACAAAAAAAATTTTAAATTAAAACCTAACATTTTTTTAAGTGTGCCATTAATATACATGATAGAATTTACTTTACTAATCTTAATATTATATTTTTGTTATGCTTACAAATTTTAAGTGTTTATGTTGAAATTTATTATGCTACTTGCTTAACTTACTTCTATTGGGTTTTCTATTTTGCTATTGTCGTCTAACTCCAAAGACATAATGTAAATTGAATCTTGTACTAAATTTTGACTATCTATTGCTACTTTTGAAACATTTATATTTATTTTATTGTTACCTAAAATATAATTTTTACATCTTTTCATTTTGAATAAAACAATTAAATCAACTCATATATTATATTTAATATGTACTAATTTTTCGATTTAATAAAAATGACATAACTGTTATAAAGTAAAATATTTGATTAGCACATTTAATAAAAACAACTATAATTTACTCTTATGAAATGTTGATAATGGTTCAGGCATATTACTTAAACTTTGATTTGATAGTTTAGAACTACTTGTATCACTAACGATTTTCGACTTAGTTATTATATCATCCAGTGATTCTTCCATCATACTATTTGACGATTCAGATAATATATCGATTTCTTCTCTTTTCAATGAGTTTTCAGGAGTATATTTCTTTTTCTAAAGCAATAATAATAATAATATATATGCAATCATTAAATATAAAATATTTAACAGAAATAATTTATTTAATCAAATAAATATTTAATTAATTATTCAAACTTGAAAAGAAGTACAATTTAAATTTGTTTTTAAACAATGTAAAATAAAAAAACACTGAAACACATAAAGTTTATCTAATTTGTTTAAAAATAATATGACACATTAATTAAAATTATTTTTATATTTACTGATTATATAAAAGGTTTATTTATTTTTTATCTTACTAGTGTAAAGTTGTTAAGTAAAAGTGGAGGTAGAGACACGTGATCCTCGGGCATTTTGTTGAATGGCTCATTTAAAACACCAATTTTCAGTTGTTCGATAAGTTGAATCAAATAAAAATTTCTAAGAGTTTTTTCATGATTTCCAGATTGATCTAATTTATGCATCCAACTGCGACACAAATGCACATCTGATACAAGAATAAAATAATTTTATTTAGATTTGCACTAGTTAAACTAAATTTCAATTTGACAAAGTTTTTGCTTAGTTAAAATATGAACAGAGCAGAAAGAAACAATAAAATTAATATTTTTTGGTAATACACTAACCATGTACTGTTTTTAAATTATTTAAGTAAGGTACAACATTTTTCAAGTCGTTTTTAAATTGCAAGTCTAATTCTTCTGTAGACTTTTTATTAACAGACATAATAAATTTTCCACTTAAAAAATCAAATTAAAAAAAATAAATATTTTTAATTTATAATTTCCATAGAAATTAAATATTTTTCTAAATAATATGTTAAAAAAAAATATAGCAAATGAGTGATTATCTAAAAATCATTCATTAAAAAATGTCACGAAAAAACCAAATTTGAAAAAAAATGTATTTATGCATAGAACTTGGAATTTTATTCATTTATAAATTTTTTTGGAACACTTCCAAAACATCCAACTCATAAAAATTTATCATAAGTATATACAATACTATAGTAACATTGTTCTAGAGGAAAAGAGATTCCCCTACGTCCATGATAACTTAATTCTTAATTAATATACATTGTTTAGTATTCAGAAAAACTAACACAATTACTTATTTATTATTAATGTACTCGGTATGACTAAATTACATATTGTAAATGCATGAATTTGCGGTTACTAACCAATAAAATAAATAGGAGTTGGGGTAACGTATTTTACCGTTCAGAGAATAAATGGATTTTATTTTTTTCATTTTGCTTTCTTTTACGATTACACTGATATATTTCGCTCTATTGATCATTCGATAATATTTTTGTACAAAATCTATAATATCTTCTGTAGCCATACTTCATTTTCCTTATTTATAAATTTAAGCTTTCAAGTTTAATTTTATACTTACTGTATCGAAAAAAAATTATTCCGCTTTGGTAACAGTCGGCTCTGTTTTCGGTGTGTCAAGAGGCTTTTAACTAATTAAATAAACAGAACGCGGACGTACGGATGATGTTGACAACCCCCTTACTACAAGAGGTGATAAATATACATATATATATACATGCATATTATACACTTTTTTAAAACTGGGGTGCGAAAGACGCGGTGTCGACGGTGGTGGTGTTATAGGGTTGATCACGATAGAGATGGCGATGGTGTACAGTAATCACCCTAGGGGCTGTTTAAAAAAAATAAAAAGGCAAAATGAAATTAGTTTAAAATCGGCGGTTCGTGTCATTCGCGTTAAAAGTTAAACATACTGTAATGGGTACAATGCATTGTAGACAATGGGTCCACAAACCATTGGGCGGTCATCAGTCCTATTTCTAACCATTTGTGTCTGTCAAAACACTTTCATGCGAAATAATCGCTCGTTCAGTTGTATCAGAAAAGTGCTACACGACTATCACCCACTGCTGATACGTTTGGCAGGTGTTCGATTTGTAAAAGAAAACATGTGCTTTTAAATTTTGTGACCAGTATATTTTTCATCTTTTTAAACTTTGTTAAGTGATTTTACATTATCACGCAAGCCAACCAAAATCGAATATAAATATTCGATATTATTATTGTACTTCTGTTAGGTATATTTTATCGGACTCTATTATTCCCTCGAGGTTCGTATAATATGAGTGAGTAGTATATAATATTATTTGAAGAGGGTTCCGGTGGTGTAGGCATTACATTACCAAACATAGGTCAATATTGGTTGTAATATTAAAACGCACTCTGCGGATGAGAAGTCGGGCGGTGACGGTAAAGTTGTTTTCTATTGTACTGTCAACGCGACGATCGGTCCGGAGGTTAATTAAAATCCATTATCGTGCTTGGCGAAACGGAAATCGGGCCCTTGTAGCTGTTGCGGGTAGGCGGAGGCGAGTAATTAAAAAACGATATTTCAAGGGAAAAAAGCGTAACAAAATGTTTTTTGACGTCGTTGGTCAAAACCCTTTTCAGCAAGTGTATAAATACCCCCGAGGCGATGACAAACATCGTTAAATTTTCATCTAATTGTCCCTTTGGCTGGTTATAGAACACGATTAAAGTTTAATATATTCTAGCCGAGTAATCGATAAACTTGAAAATATTTCAATTCTATCCGAGAAGCTATTGGACAATTTAATACGGTATAAGTGTATTAGTGCATTTCCTATGAAAATTATGATAATATTATGATTATCGATGAAATAAGTCAAACGTTGAATAATATTATTTATTACTTATGCTTTTTTTTGAGAGTAGTACATATTATTATTACAAGAACTCTGCGATTGTACTGTGTCAAGAGCCGTGATAAATAAAGGCGGTGAATGGAGTGTTCGCGGTAAATAACCCTGGAAGACTCTAAATCAAATACTATGAAGACCTATTGCAACACTTGGACGTAGTTTATTGAGTAGATTACCACACTCTAGCAAGCTGCGTTTTGTGAACAGATGATTTACGTGGATTTTGTGTAAACGGTCGATACTAATAAATTAATTTAGAACGCGCGTCTGCACGTGCCGACACTAAAATGTCGTACTCGAGAACAACACTAAAACATTTTCATCGGTGCGCCAACAAATCATTTACATTTGATTGGGCATTGGTTTGTGTTGATTGAAAATTTAAAAAATAGACAATCGAACCGCCGGTACGATTAAAATGCCGGTCGCCCGTCCGATTGTATGTAAGTGAATTATATAGACACAATTGTATAGTGCACGACGCATACTAAATTCGCTCCGTAGAGATGTACTGTTGTGCACCCGGAAAATCTTGAAATCCGTGAAGCGTACACTATTAGATGATCCATTTTTTAACAACCCTTTTGTGTGTGTGTGTGTGTACACCATCGCCCGGTCGGCCTCGAATAAAAGATCGGGTTAGGGTCCGTGCCAAATCGTTTCAAATCGCGGAAGTAAAACGAAAAAAAAAATAATTCTTCAGTGGCATCGTTCGTTGTTCCGCTTCCGTAGCACTTGTCAATCATTCGGCGGCGTTAACCCTTTTTTCACCGTTGGATATTTTTCGCCCATCATCCATCTGCGGCCAGACGTGTTAATCGGCCATCTGTTACACGCAGTACCACCATATTACCATATTTAATATTATTGTTTCGTACGAGTCAAGTGCTAAAAGTCGGTACATACGAATATTGTTATTAGCACCCGAATTTCATTTGTGTGTGTAATTGCCAAAGGGGTAGTTCCTATATTGTCGTAGCAATAATCCGAAGAACTCTTTAGATACTATAGAATAGTTTATCGCACAATGGCGGTGTTGGTTTTTGGGAATTGTTAATTTGACATCGGTATGCCACCGTGACCGATGCCAGTAAATGTGATTGATTCGACGTCGACGCAAAGGTATTCAAAAAATACGTACAATGTTGACCTTAACGTCTCGGGTGACGATTTCTCACCCCAGTCGAAAACAACCGCTGTGAGACCGATTTAACCGTGCAACCATACATCAAATGACTCGGATAAGTCATGTCAAACGTCTGAAAAACAATGATTCCATACCGTTCAGTTTACTTTCCAATTATACCAATGATACATGGAAGTATACTGATGACTGATGTGAGCCTCTCTAAACAAATTCAAGCACATTAGAAAAAAAAATACGATATTGACTACAAACTATTGTATTCTTAAATTATTTGTTCTATGACTCAATGACAGATATGTTGTCGACTAATAAGATAATCTTTTCATATTATTTTCAGTATAAGTCAATTGTTAGTAATTGTTAAATAAATTATATTGGCTAAATTTAAAATCAAACTGCTAAGTTTAATTTGAATACGAACTGAATATTTACGATTCATAAACAATAAGTTTTAATTAAATATTATTAATTTTATTAAAAGTCCATACATTTTAACACAAATAATTATCATGAGTTCTGGAGTACAGAATAAAAAACGATTTAGAGAAGGAGAATGTTGTACGGAACAAACGAAAATGTTGAGCTGCGCTTTAGCCGCTATGGAAAATATGAAGAAAATGTTTGCGACTGCATATTCTAATGTAATCGATCCGTCGGATGAAAAGCCAACTGGTCCTTGTTTAATGAACGCCAAGTGCCGTATTCCTAAAGGATGTCCTTTTCGTGGCACAGGTTTGCTGCCAAACGTAATTAGTTTTATTACATTATATAATACTTTTGAAGATAATATAACATTTTTTAACTATTCCCTGAACATTTATTTTTAATTAAAAACGACTAATTCACGTTAGTATAATTGCTTTCATACAATTGAGGCAACGAATTTTTTTTTTCAAGTAGAAATTTATTAAGTCTTTTTCAAACACAATGTTTTAGTTTATATAAAAATAATTTTTATTCGACAGAATATGCGACAATTCTGCAACTACAATTTCAACGTAGATCACAAACCAATGCTTCCTGATCCTGCCAGTATGCAACTTAAACCAGGTGAAGTTGGACTGAGAGGCGATCGAGCAACATTTCATATGGGCTATAAACCTCGACAATCTTTTCAAATTGTAGACGGGAAACCTGCTGGAGCTGTTTACTATAATTTGCCGGCCGTTGATAAAAATCGAGCTCGGAAACATGTAGTACAAGTTTTGCCAGCTTTACCAGGGAATTCGATGGCTTTAGTCGGCCCCGTTACGGGATTACCAATTACCGACGATGAAGATGTATTTGTGTTGCGTATGGGTAAACGTTATGAAGAACCAGACGAGAAAGCAAAAATACAAGTTGAAGTGCGTCTGCCTAAAAAAAAAAATGAACAATTACCGCCACAAGTACAAGAAACTCAGTATTTAGTAGCCGATTTAGGAGTTACGGAGGAAAAATCACAGAAAGGCAGTAAAAAAGGGTCAAAGAAAAAGAGCAAAAAAAAAGGTGAAAAAAAAGGAAAAAAATAAAATTATTCTTAGCTTTGAAATTATTTATTTTAAAATAAAAATTATAGCCTTTTTTTTTTTTTAAATAAAAAATCGTTCGATTTTTTACTCGATATAATTTATACAAAACATTAGATAATTCACTTTAAAAATACTACATTTTGTCGTTGACGAATTTTCGAATAATAACGAAGACTATTTTTTTAAATCTAGTTTGAAATGTTGACCCTATTAACCTACCCTCATAATTACTAGTAAAAATTACCATTCGTTTAAATTTTGAACATACAATAAAAATGTTTACCAATTAATTAAATTCATAAAGTAGATACAAATAGATGTAATCTATAAAATATACTGTCATATAACATTATGCTTGATAGGTGAAATTATTTTGGACATGAATTTTAACAAGCCATAATAAGCGTAAACATGCGCATTTCACTACCCATGTCAATATTTTATGAATATTATTGTCCGTGACGTATTGTAATGCAAAAATTGATTTGTTATCACATATTACACACACAATATGGCATATATTATGTTTTTGATACAGATATAACTTTATGAGCGATTGTCGGTGTTTAATCGAATGTAAATTATTAGAATAAGGGTTAAAAAATTATCGTGTTTGCAAAAACATAATCATCACCTGGTACGGTGCCTTGCATTATAATATGCATAACAATAATCTGCGCACACTTATTAAAATAAAACAACCTCCGGAGTATAACAAAAACACATACTTCGAGGCTATAAACTATGGCCAGTTAATGGGCAATTTCGTTGCGATACTTAAAAGTACCATTTTACTATCGAACTCGAGACATTCAAAAATCAAATATACCCTCCCCGTTGAATAAAAAACAAACATTCCTTATTATAAAACGACTTTCTTTGCCGCCTATCTGCACACTAACATAGCGGCATTATAAATAATAAAGAAAATGCTCAGTAAATGGGAGTCAATTGTTTAACGACCGACGGGACGTGTGTTAAAATGCAATTTTCCTTAGTAAAACCGTCTTTGGCAGTTAATTCCCGAAATCATAAAACACCCGAACCGAGATAATGTTGAAGGCAGCGGCCATTTAACGTTTGTGCACTCGGTCCATATTAATGTGACGAGTCGTCGTAACGCTGACTCTCCGACGCATTAAAATTCGTTATTTGCAGTATCATGACAATAGTAAAAAAAATAATAACAAAGGGATTTGTTTTTTTTTTACTCGCACACAGTAACCCATCTAATGGTTTCATAAATTTAGGTTATCAGTTAACTTGGGCTTGTTTTTTTTATGATGAACATTTTTACGATCTAAAAATGTACGTATATATCTTATTTTTTATACATCTCAGACGTTTTATTAAAATGCAGTGATGAGATCTTAGGAATCCATGTCTGGTCGTTCTGATACCAGAGCTTTGTGGTATAATAATAAACTGAAATTATTAAATTCACTCAAAGATTTAACCAAGCCAAAAACATATTAAAAATAAAATTGATACACTCAATTGATAAGGCCAGCAACCTAAATGTTTGACATTATAAATAATATGAATTTTGTTTGACATGTTTATTATGTAAAATACTTTATATAGAACACTCTATTTTTTTTACAATTCAATGCATAGATTAACATTTATGTAATTTATTACCACTGTATTCACACTATTCATACGTTTTTTTTATTTTACCTCACTGTAGAAATCGTTAATGAATCGAGTTCATATATTATGAATTTACGCATTGATTAAAGTTGACCAAGTTAAATGTCACTTGTTCATAACAAAAAAAAAAAAAATATGGATACTTAATTAGAATAAACTGCATTGTGATGTTGGGGTACATTATTAGTAAAAGCATTGTTTAATTTTTAATTTTCGTCCAAATTAACCGAGTTATCCAAACAGACTATATATCACCAGTGCTGACCAATATATAATTTATTTGCGGTGTACGCTTTGGGCGATTACAGTGATAATAACTGTAATTATACTCTAAATAATTGCATCGTCTGGTGTGGTGTACTAAAGCCGGAATACGCTAGCGTTTGTATGAATATTAATAATGTGTCGATAAATCTAAATGCATTGGGATGAATTAAATAGATTGCTTACCATATAAAGCTTCGATGCACATTCGTCATCATTTCAGCGCTAAATTTTCCTATGAAAGGGATTTTAGGACACCCGAGTTTCATAGTAATAGCATTGATCAACTACAAAGTATAACAGATGATTAGAGCATGGTGCACATATTTTCGCGTGTAATTAAACATTAGTTAAAATGATAATCCTTTGAAACTTGATGATTAAAACAAAGTCTACAAAATACCGTGGAAAGTTCTAAATTCAAATTCCTAAAGCAGATGCAGTCAAATTATAAAAGTTTTGACGTCGATTCTTATGATGCTCAGATATTGCGTAGTAGAGCTCTCGTCAAATTTATTGATGTCGAATATAAACAATGAAAAATACAAATAAAAGGGTTTCTATCTGAGGATATTTATGTACCGATAGCTAATCGATCCCCCGGGCTGCGTTTATGACGATCGGTTCATTGAGCTTGGTGGATTGTCAATATAACTTGTCACAGATGCAAATGAATCGTTCCAGTTAAATAATAAAATAAAAATACTATCCCATATGGTTTATTGTTCCCTGTTATCGTATCCGCGTACTCGTCTACAATGATGCTGTATTAACGTGATTGCACGATGAAAATGCATCATCAGCCGATGGATTCTCCGTCTACATAATTGAAATTCTTTGAAATTTTCCACCAGAAAACCAATTCTGTCTAAAACGACGTAGGGGTTGACTCTTTTTTTTTTATTATTAGTACACTTAAGATATAAAAACGCGGGGAATGAGTTCGCCTGTTTTCTTTTAGTTAATTTTATCAGATGCACCTCCCTCTCACCGTATTTTATCGACACATGTTACGAGATGAATTTACATGTAAAGAGTCCTTCTCAGACATATATGAGCTCACTACGTGTATGAAGCCCGGTTGAGTTTTATACTGTTACATGGCAAACAAAGTAATGAAATGGTGCTGAAGATGCGAAAGTGTATAATTCGTTAAAGAAAATGGCTTTCTGTACAAAGAGGACGTTTTAAATTCAACGCTGTTTTACGTCGAGCGTACAATAAATTCTAAAGAAACCCATACTATCTATGCATTGCACTAGTCTTACTTGTGTTTGTATTACCCCTGCGTGCACCTTAGTGTTTTAAATGGATCACGACTGTTGTAATGCAAGTAGTAAGTAGGGTTTTTTGAAATCCCTTTTTGTCAAGCGAATATTGAGCTCGTATAGGTTTATGCCAACTGTGCAGTATTATTTGAAGTTATATTTTGACTACTGTCACTGATCCAATATTCACAACACGGAAACGGGAAAATACGATGTGTGGTGTCAGTGATAATCCTCAGTGGATCCTTTGGAAAGATCTTCAATATTAACCCGACTAACGAAAACGGTAGAAGCTGATAGCAATCTCAAACCACATACCCTAAAAAGGTCGTGGCAAACTGCAGAATTAGTAGGATTAATATTGGTTCGTGACCATCTGTTGTCACGAAATAGTAAAAGAAAACTATACATACACATATGATGATGTTTCGAAAACTTTAACCCTTCGGCTATTCAAAAACTTGCTTAATCAGATAATAAGTCATTACCTCCTTGTCATATACACCATTCTGTATTGTCATATGAATCTTGATTAGCTTAAGATTTATTTAATGGTTAACTGCACGTATAGAAACCCCTCTATAATTGATAAAATATTATGGTATTTAAATTCACAATGAACAAATGCTTTGCTTTAAGCTATTTGCGTAGCACTTGTTATACTCCCGTAACACTAACAAAAAATCTCAATAAATTATTCAAATTTGATTTGATCAACATATAAACAAAAAATATTATGCTATTTTATCAAGTACATTATAATAGATTTTTAACGACCGTTTGTTTTTGACGTTCAGTGATTTTCCAAAAATGCAAAACAATATTTACCCTAAATTGTTATTATTTTTCGAAAACCTTCTGGCTGTATGAGAATATTGTTAACTCAAGTGTCTTAACTGTCAAGACCTATGATTCAACAAACGTGTATACAAACTGATTGGAATATCCATATGTACGAGCGCTTCGGGGTCGTTTTAATAATATTCAACGGTCATTTGCAGATTTTATGCCGGCGGCTCAACACACAATGTACCACTAGTAACATCCAAGAGTAGTAAATATAAATTCATGGGCGATTGACGTTCAGAGCGTCGACCACAATAAAAACAACTCATTGACCGCCGGCGATGACCATAAAAATAGTAATAATAAATAAACTTAAGTATATAAAAACCATAAGTGCGTGTTATAATAATAATTTGTAAATCGCCACCGCGATTTGAAACGACTACTCGATGCTGACCGTTACATAGGGACGAACCCAATTCTATGGATGTCTGCCGAGCCACTTAACTTGGGCATTATGACCGGAATAATGGTATACACTCCACATAACACAACCACGTTACAATTGTAAGTTATCACCGGCAAATTCACACGCTTCTAATTTTTGAAAACAACTTTCATCATTTAGACAGTAAATTTTTACGACACTATCACGTGTATTAAAAATAAAATTTTATTGAAAACGGAAGAGATGTCAAGAGTGGTTTTTATTATGATAATATTTGAGCTTCCGATATCTGTCGTAAAATCGCTACGTTTTTGTCTATTTCATTGCACCCTTTTGATACACTAAGCAACGCAACGCGTACGTACGTCAATCACAATTGAAAACATCTCGTCTGTTTAACGTCACGTGTCCATTGTTTTTTTTATGATGTAAAAATCAGCTATACAACCCAACGAGGTTGCCAACCCCTCTCGACATCACGGACTCTTGATACCCACACTTATTGTGTGTCGTTTCGCACTCTTCACGGTTAAAATATTATTTGCAATGTCGTCCAATGTTGTACCCGCATTATTATCCGCAGTTTTAAAATAAATGAAAAATAAAGTTAAACTGGAAATATGAATAAAAAAAATGTTAAGCGTATTAACGACAATTCAATTACACGATTTTTCAAAATGAAATTAATCAGTATGTCTTTCATCGATACATATATTTTTGTGTAAAACATTTTTAGTACAATAGCCGTGCAACTTTTGATAAAGTGTTGATTTACAAACTATGATATTATTTTAGTTGTTAATAATACAATGTTTATGCATTATATTACATTATAATTTATACACATTCAGGACAGTTCTATAAAACATGTAATAACTTTTATTTAAAAGTTCACTAAATAATTATTTGTAAAATGTTTGTTACAAATACTTTTCAACGATAAAAGCTAAAAATGTTTTGCATTTTGTCGTTGGTAAATAA